AGGTGGGGGGGGGGGGGGGGGGGGGGCGGGGGGGGGGGGGGGGGGGGGGGCTCATTAAGATAAAAATTGTGACTGCGATAAAAAAGCTCCAGGTTTGCTGTGCTTGTTTGTGGGGCTGCAAAATTTTGCAAAAATCAGTTACTGATAATTACTGATAACGAGTGACACATCTTGGGTATTCTATAGTCTTTGTTATAGTTTATAAAATGGTAATAAATATGACAAGATAATAAAATATGACAAGAACTATTAAAAGAAGAGTTAAACTATTTAAGAAGAGTTAAACTGTGTCAGAATAAATTCATCTTGATAATGTCAGATAACACTTAAGCAAAACATGGTCAGGTCAAAGTGTCTGAATAATTTTTGGTCCCAAATGTTTATCAATTTTACTGGTAGTCCACTGTATGAAGAATTTTTGGGGATAATATGTCACAGTATACTTAATTTTGCTATCACTCACTTACATAAATGAACTATAGTGTCCTGCACCCACTTGAAAAAAAACATAAACAATTTTATCTGGTGTCCGAATAATTTTTGGTTTGACTGTATATTGCAGTTACTGATAATTACACAAAGCCATATATCCCTATCTAGTCGTAGGGTTTTTATGTTAGTATGCTATTCTAAATATATGTGACCAAATCAGTAATTTTATCTGCAACTGCCTAAGATGAGTTCACTTATAATCATAAGAGACACTTGAAACAGCTGAATGTTACACATTCCTTACACCTCTCAGCACAAACTCTCTGAGCCGAAGGGCTCTTGTGTAACACTTAAGAAAGGAGAGTGATGCAAATAGGATTGGTGAAAAACAAACTTGATGTCTACTGTCCAACGAGAAAACATGAATGCTCTTACCAAAGACTCTCTGACTGGTGAGGTGGAGCGACAGCTGGAGGAGAATCGGCTGCTGCTGCTCTTCAGGCCGCTGCTGCCAAGACTGTCCTGTGTGGAGCTCCGTGAGAGGCCGTAGCTGGAGCGTAGCTGGCTATAGGTATCAGATACATAAGTGCCTCGGCTCTGGTAGGACTGCTTCAGGCCACTGCCACTGGATGTCTCGCTCAGGCCCAGAGCTGATAGATCGTGCGTCAAATCGCTCTGACTCACCGACTTCCTGCGACTGAGAGAGATGCTGGAGGAAACGGGTGAGGTGGAGAGGTAGCTGGTAGGGGCCGGAGAGTAGCTGTAGCTGCTGTATGCCGAGCCTCCATTGAGGCCCGAGCCATAGCCCTCAAGACTGTCCTGTGTGGAGCTCCGTGAGAGGCCGTAGCTGGAGCGTAGCTGGCCATAGGTATCAGATACATCAGTGCCTCGGCTCTGGTAGGACTGCTTCAGGCCACTGCCACTGGATGTCTCGCTCAGGCCCAGAGCTGATAGATCGTGCGTCAAATCGCACTGACTCACCGACTTCCTGCGACTGAGAGAGATGCTGGAGGAAACGGGTGAGGTGGAGAGGTAGCTGGTAGGGGCCGGAGAGTAGCTGTAGCTGCTGTATGCCGAGCCTCCATTGAGGCCCGAGCCATAGCCCTTTGCCGGTGTGCGGCTCAGGCTCTCGCTGCGCCGGCCACCCAGCAAATCGGTGCGAGTGATAGGTCGACCCCGGTCCGGCTCGAACGAAGAGCTGTAGTTGTGGGAGCGGCTGGCACTTGAGCTCAGGTAGCTTGATGAGGAGTAGCCTGAGGAGGAGCTTTTATAGGGCAACTTTTCCCGATCATAGGAGCCCAGCGATGGAGTCAGGGAGGAGCCATATGAGCTGTAGTGACTGGTATAAGAAGAGCCAGTATAGCGCTTCGCTGTAGAGGAGACACGAGACATGCTGTCAGCTCAGCTGGATGTAAGGCAATTTCAGGCTGCATGGAATCTGTGAACGAAAGGAGAAAAAGTGTGGTATTCAGTGATATTAAAATTCTGGCCAGTACAGATAAACCAGTAATTATTTTCAGTTTAAAGTCGGCATGGAATGAAAATCTGTTTAATGTATGTTGTTGATCTTATTGTGAACAATTCATCCATGATGCATGCTTCATTTTCTTCTTTTGTTTTTTTTTACCTTGTAGTTTTCAATCAAAATGTAATAACTGAATCTTCCAGTGAAATGACAGACTTCACTGGTGACATTTGCTGGACTTCTCCAATCATTTCATCCACTTAAACCCCACCTTTTTTTTTTTTTACACAAATGACTGCAACATCCAATCAACAACCAGTAGATTGAACCAAGTCCTACCCAACATTTTTTTTATTTTATTTTTGATAATCCATTTTACTTGGATATATGTCACAATACAGAAGAAAAGATCTGTCACTCACTACTTCCATTACATTGTGAGTTTTAATAACTGTTAAATATCAGATATTAAAATTCTACACTGTTGTGTCTAGATTAATAAAAGGAAACACTAAACTAAAATAAATTGTTTATAAAAATTCTACACTGTTGTGTCTAGATTAATAAAAAGGAAACACTAAACTAAAATAAATAGTTTTTAATAATATAAGTGAATTTAGGCATCACAACATTATAATGTACAGTATGAAAAATAGATATTCATTTTGAGACTCGCTAACGATTACATTTAACAGTGTTATTAAATTATTAGGGTTTTTAAAGATTAACCTTAACCCTGTAAAGCCTGACATATATTGATCTAAAAAAAAAGTCTGCATATGTGAGTACCATATTTCATACATTAGGCTTTTATGGCTCATATAGTACAATATATAATAGGAGAAAATGGAGCTTATACTCGAGAAAGAAAAATAACACCCCAATTTTATTCAGAGGCCCAAACTGAGCAAAAAATATGCAATTTGGTGTAGTTGCTGATATTTACAGTATATGGCCAAAACGTAATATGCTATTTTGATAGCACTTAGTAGATTGTGAGCAACAGGTTTTTCAGCAAAGTTTCCATCATGTGATAATTCAGAGGCCTTAGAAATTTGCATATCAAATATGATACAGTAGGCTTTCGGTTAAGTGAGCGTTTACTTCTAAATTAAGATGTATAAAACAATTAATAAACAATTAAATATCCAATAACAGCTAATACAGATTAAAAAAAAAAAACTTTAATATCAGCTGATAACCAAAACGGTACACAATGGATATTGTGCATCCATAGCTGCTATGTATAAATATAAAATATTTGTATATGCATTCTATGTGAAAGTGAGAAAAACACTTTGTATGTGAAAGTGAAAAAAACAAACACTTTTGTCAAAGTGGCCCCAACTGATGTGACATCTAAACTGACTGATAAAATGAGATTGATAAGATTAATCATTTTAGCTTATATCTACCAACAAACTCCAAAATGCCTCAAAATCCCACACACTCAGGTCGGCGGTTTCATTATGTGTGTATTTCAGCCTTAGGGAAAGAAATTCTCTCTTCAGTTGGGCAATTCCAGTAAAAAATTGTAGGGTATAAACAATACTGGTTACGAATTTTGAATGACGATGTGTCATGCCCTGAGGTCTCTTGTGTTTTGTGCGCTTGATCCTGAAAACATATTTGATGAGTAGCAGCATGTGACTCTTGTCCAAACACAGCATACACACTGCGAGGGGTGCATATTACGCAACCTACGGGGGCTTCGCTGCAAGCACGGGACCCTGAATGAAGAACATGCTGAACAAAATGAGTGCCATTGTTTTCAGAGAGGCCTGGATTGGTGGTACAGCCCGAGCTCAGCACTGAAGACCCCGCTGTTTGAATGAAACGAGAGAGCCCCCAGATCCGGGCCATGTGTTTACGCGGCACAGTTTGTTCTTGTGGAGAGACGGGCTCTTGTTCACAAGGTAGTGCAGCATCTGAATAAATAAAAGTATCTGGTGTTGTTGATCCGTGCTGGGTTCAGTGTGATGGCTCTTATTTCTTTAATCTGTCTCGCTGCAAACTCTCTCTCCCTCTCCCTCTCTTAGTGCAGCGTTCACAGATGCATCAATATTTCAACACGTAGATCTAGGGTAGGCAGCACACTGGAGGCAGTCCAAAGCACATGGCAAACCGACACTAACATGCTTTCATCAGACGAGAACTCTTAAGACAGTTGTCCACTGCTTTCACACTGTGTTCCCTCTCTTTGCCCACAAGCCAAAAGAACCCTAGCATATAGTATTGAGAAAGATCCTTAATATTCAAGCCCCTGTAATACCACAAAAAAAAGTCTAAAAAAAGAGGTAGTAGAAGACATTTAGTTTATGTCAGTTTGACACTGTGGGGGTTAGTTTTAGTACCCTTTTAATATGCAATGGATTATCAAAATTAACACAACACAAAAAACATATTTTCAGGAAATTATTATTATTAACATAATTTAAGGAAAAATAATAAAGTTACTGTTTAATGTCAAAAACCAACAAACAATAAATAAAATTAGCAGCACTATGCACTTTTTGCTTGTATAAACACTAAAATATTAATATTAAAAATGATGGCCGGATTTTAAACAATCAAAAAAATCTTGGTTTGGTGACTTACAACATAACATGTTATCTACTAGATTTGACCAAAAATAAATAAATATATAAAGAATTAGGAAATGATTTCAGTCTTTAACTCATTTTAAGAGAAGGATCAAAATCATAAATTATATGCATTTTAGTGTTCAGATTTTTAGAATGCACAATAGTTTATATTCCATCTACAGGTTAAGATTTACAACAAAAAATCAATCCGATTTTCGCATTGGTCAGAACTAAAAGGCAGACAGACTGAATGAAAATGTAACTCCACTGTCTGACAGCAGGTGGCGCTTCTGGAACAGCAGCAATAGAGCGGTTTCATCGGTAAACGCTGTAAACAAAGCAGCGCTGCGCTTTTAAACACTGCTTTATTAGGCTTTACACAGAGGGAAGATGAAAAGCAAATATCATAGAAACTTTTCTGAAGACAGTCAGTTCTCCCTTATGCATTCATAGATTTAAATCATTCATACATTCTTTCATTTCATTTGTTTCAGCACTCTGACTTCATTCATGTTTTCGCACAAAACTAAACCTACGCTGCATGTTGCACCTGCGTGAGACTGTTAATTTTGCTTAATGCTGAGCAGTATTTATCTCAAGTTTTACGACATATTTATAGATTAATCCTTATTAAAGATCAAGTTATTCAGTCAAGAGCAAATCTGAGCAGAGTGATTTTTCTTTTGTTCTTCAATAACACAGACAGCCAGCTGCTCTCACTTTCAGACCAAATGCATGGTTCTGACACACACATCAGATTTCCTCGGTTTACGTTCATTTAAAGGGGTCATATAAAGTTGCTAAAAAGAACATTATTTTGTGTATTTGGTGTAATGAAACGTGTTTATGCGGTTTAAAGGAACACGCCACTATTTTTGAAAATAAGCTCATTTTTCAACTCCCCTAGAGTTAAACAGTTGAGTTTTACCGTTTTTGAATCCATTCAACCGATCTCCGGGTCTGGCGGTAGCACTTTTAGCTGCAGCTTAGCATAGATCATTGAATCTGATTAGACCGTTAGCATCTCGCTCAAAAATGACCAAAGAGTTTGGATATTTTTCCTATTCAAAACTTGATTCTTCTGTAGTTACATCGTGTACTAAGACCAACGGAAAATGAAAAGTTGCGATTTTCTAGGCCGATATGGAAATATATTAAATATATATATGCAACTACACAAACTTAGTGCCAGCCACGTTGGAAGTTACCTAGCTGGGGACTATTTTCAGGCGCTGCGTAATATCATTGCGCCTGCTGCACCCATGGTACGGCAGCAAAGTTCCTTGATTATTACGCCGGAATGAGAGTATAGTTCCTAGCCATGTCGGCCTAGAAAATCGCAACTATTTTCAAAAATAGTGGCGTGTTCCTTTAAGGTTCAAAAAACACATTATTTTCCACATACTGTACATTATTGTTTCTCTTCTATGCCCCGCCTTTCTGAAACGCGTTGATTTTTACAAAGCTCATCGGTCTGAAAAGCGAGGTGTGCTCTGATTGGCCAGCTATCCAGTGCGTTGTGATTGGTCGAAAACCTCAAGCGTGTGAAGGAAATGTTACGCCCCTTACCATATTATGATGCCGTGTCCCGGAGCGACGAGACAATATCCTTAAAACCCATTATAAACGAGGCATTTGTTGCATCCAGTGGGGACAAATGGCTTGCCATCTCTGCCTATTTCTTCTATTCACACCCAGCGGCATTTATTTTTAAGTACTTTATCAATTAGTGCGTCTTCCCCAGGCTTCATAATCTTACTTTCTATCCTACGGACAATGTTTGCTTGCTACTCTTCAATGTAACTTCTCCGCTCCGGCATCTATGCTTACGCCTGTTTCACACATACTCCATCTGCAGTGCGTATACAGTCCATCTGCGTTACGTATGCGGTGCAGAGGCATTGTGCTTTCACACAGGACATGTTTGCAGTCCGCTACTGATACGCAGCTACTTACCACAAACACAACATTTATCCATTACTTTGAGTTCAAATCCAAACGTTGTTACTGAAAAAGCTTTTTCAGCATTGTGATCCTCCTTTATCACAGTACAGTAACAATCTTTCATAGACATTAGTTTAAACTCAATAAATATAAACAACGTAGCCTATTATTCATGTATTTGACTTCTAGGTTTGTATAAAAAGTTGCTCAAGCAAGTGGCAACACATTTAAACACAGCATAGCCTACTTTTCTTATGTTAAAATAGGCTATCACAAACATTTAAAATTAAAACTCTCCACTGACAGAAACAGTCAATTCTCCTGCCTTTTCTTTTGCATTTAAATCTTTATTACAAGCAATCCCGCAGGTCTTAAAGAACTTAGTTTTTCTACTAGTGCATCTATTATGTTGCCTTGTTTATCTAAAAGTGCACTTTTCCTTGTTTTAAACCTAGCCAAAAAGCCACGTGTTGACTGTTAAACAGTAGACTTTAATTATATCAATTTATTGTGAAATTACTACATTTCCGTGTCAATCCATGTTAATTTTTACTGCGAACAATGCACTGTCACTTTAATTCAGTGCGTTGAGCACAGCAAAAATAGACTCGTAAGCGTAAACGATCACTGCACTGCTGCAGACATGCCGTTCCTGGAACGCACTGCCGGTGTTGTGCCCAATTCTGACCCCAGCCAGATTATTACCCCCCTAGTATTGGTAGGTTTAAGGTTAGGTGGGGGGGTAATAATTTGGCAGGGGGTCGAAAATGGGCACAACACCGGACCGCAACCGTGTGCAGTGTGAACGCTCTAATTCATTAACATGGATATACTTAACTATTATCATTAACAGTTTAATATTATTAAACTATTATTGATAATAATGTATTATCTTTATTACTCTATATTTATAATACTCAAAATAATATTAAATATATTTAAATTACGTTTACAAGTAAGAACCTTGAGAATAAGCTATATTCTAGAAAAAAACTTTTGATATGAGGAGATCACTAGAAAGTTTCTTGTTACTACAGGATCATTACAAAACACTTACAAGGGATTTAACATACAATACCGTTACAAAACTTGGGGTCAGTATTAAAATATTTTTAAAGAAGTTTCTTATGCTCACCAAGGCTGTATTTATAAAAAATTAAATAAAAACAGCAATATTTAAAATATTACATTATTAAAATAATATTTGTTTAATTCTTTTTTTTTTAATGTAATGCAAATTAAAAATGTAATGTATTATCAATGCTAAAAACTGTTGTGCTGCTTAATACTTTTGTGAAAACATTTCTGTACATATTTTAAGGATTTTTTTAATGAAAGTTCAAAAGAACAGCATTTATTTGACTTTAATCCCACTTTCGATCAATTTCATGCACTCTTACAGAATAAAAAGTATTAATATTTTTAAAAACTTTTGAACAAAACTGTACGTCACTCAATTTTGTGTATATAAAGTGTATATAAATATAAATACACTTAATCTATTTAGCCAAATCATAGAAGCAGGCTCTGTTGTCTGTAGTCATCTTCTGTGAGAAATATTAATTACTACTAATAAAGAAACTTCCATTTTTAACCAAACTAATCTTTTTAGTAGAATGAGACTAGAGTTTGTGTGTGTTTTTTCTTAAATGTTAGTATTACACTGTGTCTACACCGGACGCGAGCGGCGCGACAAAATAGAACTCAATAGAACACTATAGAACTCAGTATATAATCAGTGATGTGGTCTACACTGGAAATTTATTACGTACGGACACAAATTTCAAATGATTTTCAACGGTCACTTTGTCAGACTTTAGCTGTTGTGGCGCGGCGCAACAATTGTCGCGTTCGGTGTAGACACAGTGTTACAATACTAACATTTCTCACATACAGTTGATTCAGCATGAAGGAAGTCAATGGGGGTTTAGTCAGTGGTCAGGGTCTAAGCTGTGGGAGTGTCTCTGGCTGTGAGCATGTGACAGGTGGGGACTTATCAAAGCAGACGTGGTTCAGCCCCGTGATGCCTGACAGACATCCACACTTGCATTCATGCTGATAGACGTGCTGTCATTACGTGCACACCACCACATTCATGCTCCTTAACATTCACATTTAACACGTCAGTTCACCTACTTTTAGCTCTTCAACATTTGGAAAGCTATGAAAGTCAGTTTCCACCTCAGAGTAAAAAAATAAAAAGATGATTGTGACTATTTCTAACAGTTGTGACTTAATTTCTTACAATGTGACTTTAAATGTAAATGTTAGCCTCGCATTACATTTTGTCTTTTTCTCTGATGCATAGAAAGCAAACTGCACTAAGAATTGCAAAGAAGCATAAAAAGTAGGGCTGGGTAAAAAATATTGATATCTCTATATTAATCGATTCTCATTTTTCGGAACGATATCGATTCTTAAATCCCAAGAATCGATTATTCTAGCCTGTTTTCAGTTAATGGACGGAACACTGAAGGGCACTTCCCATCCAATATATCACAATAAGCATTGTGCTTTGGTACTTTTAATATGAAACAAAGTCTCAGATTTCAAATTCTGTACATTGTATTGCAGTATTCAAGCAATAAATGCCGTTGTAGTGATCGCTGTAGTGCCTCAGTTTAACAGACGAACTGATCATCTCCTCCACATTAATACAAGTTTCAGTTTAACATCCAAAGTTAAAAGAAAGAGTACAACTTTACAATCCGTATTCTGTCTCATGTAATCGCTCAATCAGTGTTTCAGCTGCGCAAAGACGTCAATATAACGGCTTGTAAACAATGTCACGTAATGTCACATTTACCTCAGAAAAACATATTCGTGACCATAAACTCATTAGTCAGATAGAAAAATAAACTGTAGAGAGGGGCATTTTGCTAAATATATGCAACATATAACATATTCATTATAAATTTGATTGCTTCAATGTTTAATTTATGTTTGAATAAATCCATCAAGTTTTTATGACAGCCACCATTTATATAAAAAATTTAACAAATTGAAGTAGAAATATTATGTAATTGTAACTTTATTATTTTAAAAACTTCCTTAAGTGTAATTTTAACAAATCACTCAATTTTAACCTTCAATATTATAGTAATGTAGTACCAACTGACTCTGGAGGACAGAGGAGCCTCTTAAATAAGAAGTTACAGGTCTGTGAGAGCCAGAAATCTTGCTTGTTTGTAGGTGACCAAATACTTATTTTACCGAGGAATTTACCAATTAATTCTTTAAAAATCCTACAATGTGATTTTCTGGATTTTTTTTCTCATTTTGTCTCTCATAGTTGAGGTATACCTATGATGAAAATTACAGGCCTCTCTCATCTTTTTAAGTGGGAGAACTTGCACAATTGGTGGCTGACTAAATACTTTTTTGCCCCACTGTATATCCAAAATAATCGATATTGAATCGAATTGGTAATCGAATCGAATCACAAGCTTGTGAATGAGAATCGAAACGAATCGTGAAATTTGTGTCAAAACCCAGCCCTAATCAAAAGGTCAATAAAAAAATCCTGAAAACAGTTTTGCTGTGATTTGTGCTGTATAACTTCAAATATCAGAACTGGTCTCCAGGAAGCCACCATGATATTGCACCAAAACACCGTACCGTCCTAAAAAATCAAAAAATTGTGCAGGTGTTTGTGTTAGCAACACAAACAATACGCTGAAGACTTGAGGCAAAGTCTTGGGTACAGCTATATTTACCCTGAAATGTGGGCAGATAATAGCTCAGTGACCAAACTGACACCCCTCCTGTGACCAAAGGCAATCTGGCAAGACTCGCCTCTCAACAATACTCAGGCCTGCCAAACCAAACTCAAAATCTACCTTTTATATCCGCAGCTTTGTTATGCGAATCACACTTGCACTGGTCTGGCATGAATTTTCAAAGCTTATTTATTCTGGAAAAACAACATCAGACCAAATTTTAAAGGTAGCATGTCATTCCAGGTTTTAAATCATTTACAGTGAGTGTAGACAACCTTAATAAGGAATGTGGAACACAGATTTTGTAACAGACTGACATTAGGGCCACTGTCTATGAAAAGGAGACAATGAAATTGAAAACATGGGGATTAACGTGAGCAACTAAAATTGCAAATCAGGTGTATAGACACAAAAACTGCTTTGGTGTTTGCTTTTTTTTTTATTTCAAAAGATGAATCCAATAACTTGCACTGTATTAACACACCCTAAAAATCTCCAGAGACAAACAGCAACCCTGTATGTTGTTTGTAAGTGCCACAGCTCTCTCTTGGTATCATGTGTGCAAAGTGCACTAGCAGGTGGGTGTTAGGTTCAGGGGTACCTACTGTAAGTAGAGCCGTTCTCGGTTCTAGTGGACGGAAAAACAGAGATGTTGGTTCATTATACCTCACCTACACCGTTCACTGCTCAAACCTAAAAAGACAACACAGGGGGGGGGGGGGTATTTGGTGAAGGCAGCATTTATGTAATGATATATACAGCTTAATTAAAAAATTATTCATTTAAAAATTATCATTTTATATATATATATATATATATATATATAAGCACTCTAAGTATTAGACAAATAATAAGAATATAAAAGCATATATGACAACTCATTCCTAGGTTAATAAAGAGGTATATGAGAGCATCTTTTAAAACGACGCTTACAAATGTTCAGTATTCCTAGGCATCAGTTTAAATGTCAGACTTCCATTACAATCCAGGTCCTGGTTACGCTCAACGGCTAACAATAGAGAACATAACAACTGATGACTTGAGAATGTCACGCGCTCTCCCCCACAGACCTCACAGCATTGGATAGCAGTCAAAACAGCTTAAAGTTAAAGAAAAGAGCGAGTCATTTGGAGAAGAGGCTCACCAGTAGCATTTTCCATGGACAGCGTGTTGCTTTGGAGGCTGTAGCTCCAGAGTGAGAGGACCAGGGAAGGATTGCATGAGCAGAGTGATCCAGAATGCTAGAGATCATATTACTGAGCTGGTAAATATAGCAATTGCCTATGACCTCCCTGGGTCATCAACACTCCTGCATTCCAATTTGTACTTAAAGGAATCGGATTAAGACTTTTTATGGGCAGGACTGGTTTTACAATATGATTATAAGTAATTATTTATTATTAAAATGTATTTACATAAATATATTAAATATTTAGATTTTTTTTATTTATACAGTGAATTTTTTGTTTTTAATACTTTTAAAATATATATTTTTAATAATACTTTGTTAATTAATCATTTTTAATAATATCATATAAATGTTTGATAATATAATGAAATGTATTTCTATATTTATATAATTAATTAAATGTAATATAAAACATTTTATATTTATGTATTTTATATATATTCAACACACATTTTAGTCAAGCTTCAGTGACATAAATCACGCAGAAATGAAAACTTAATTTATACTTACCCTCATGTCATTCCAAATCGGTATGATTTTCTTTCTTCTGTAGAACACAAAAGATGATGCTCTAAAGAATGTTGGTAACCAAACTGTTTTTGTAATCGGCTTCCAAATATTTAAAAAATATAATACAAAAATAAATAAAGTCACATAGGTTTGGATCAACATGAGTAAATAATAAAATAACAGATTTGGAGAAATTTTGCATCCCATCACCTGCTCACCAATGGATCTTCTGTAGTGAATGGGTGCCGCCATAATGAGAGTTCAAACAGTAATCCACGACTCAAGTCGTCCATTCCCTGTTGTCCTCTCACATCAAAATACACTGACATATTAGTTCAAAGCTTTTTTGGACTCTTTTTTTTACTTGTAAATGGTGCTTGAAAAATAATCTCATCTGAATCAGGAGAGAAATATATCTCTCTTGATACAGACGAGATTACTTTTTCACTGGAGAAGGCCATTTCGTTTTTAGGATGTATCTGTTTCATACAAACATGCTGCTGATTACTTGTGGATTATTGTGATATTTCTTTCAGCTGTTTGGACTCTCATTCTAACGGCACCCATTTACTGCAGAGGATCCATTGGTGAGCAAGTGATTTAATGTTAAATCTGTCCTGATGAACAAACAAACTATTCTATATCTCGGATGGCCTGAGGGTGAGTAAGTTTTCAGCAAATTCTCATTTTTGGGTGAACTATTGCCTTAATTTAATTTTTAAAATTAATTTCATATTATACTGGCTGGATACAGTCGTACACTATGATTGTTTTGCTGCTAATTTGTTTTGTTTTGTTTTGAACAAATAACACCAATCAACATAACAATCTTTGGAGGACTTATGTTCTGTCACTTAACACATCTCATTATTCTGAGAGTAAAATATCCAAATCAACACACTATAATATGGATACAAGTGAAATGAGGATAAGCAGATCAACAGTTTAAAAAACAGCTGCCTGATACCGTGTCTACAGGGGATGGGCATTTTTCAAAAACATTGTATTCGAATATTTGAGCTCATAAATTTTTTTCCCCGAATATTCGTTTATTTAAAGAAAGAC